ATTATATCAAAAAATTGATAAAAAATGAGGTAATTACCATCATATATATTAAATTTGCTAACAACTTAGCAGATCGTCTTACCAAGGCGCTACTTAGAAATTTGGTAAGAAGCACCACAAGTGGAATGGGTTTAAAATTCCTTTTAGACACTAATAATGGGAACCTAACTTTGAATTAGTAATCTCTAATTGCAAAGTTTAATAGGTAACAACAAGTTATTATTATGTGTCTGTAAACACTAGTCAACCCATTCTAAATATTTGGAATACTAGTTTAAGCCATTGCATAAATGAAAGATGAGATTGATCTCTTAATGAAGTTTGTAACTAAATGTCTATAGCAATTGAGACATAAATAAGAAACTCCACCTATATAAACATAGAAGTGGTGCCGCTTCAATAAGAAAATTAGAAACTTTCTTGTAAATGTTTATGAATAAGGATAAGCATATGGCCATAATAATGCTAAAGCGGTTATAAACCTTTGACAGAATATTAAATAAGTATTATGTGTGTCTTCAATTTTAACACTAAAAGTTGAGGTTTAATTAGTGGACACCATCAACTTTGTTAGAATTCTAAGGTATATATGTTAATTGAAGGTTTAAATCGAAAGATACCTTCTCGTAGTCATAATATTTATTTGTGTGAAAGGTTAAAGATTAAGCACCAACATTCCAAACTAGTAAGGGATTATTGGTAGTTTAAAATGTGGTAAATCCCACATTGAGTAGAAAGATCACTTATATATGGTTTAAAAGAAATCACTTATGTTATTTAAGTAATTGAGCTAAGTGTTGGAGTGGACCAAGTCATTTGGGCTCACTAGGAGTTTTTCTAGTGAGTCAGACAATTTTAAAAGTCAAAGATGGGCACTTGGGCACTTGGGGCACTTAGGCTTGTTTGGAAAATAGATTTAATTTTTTAAATCTTTTTATTATTATTATTATTAATAATTTATTTTGAAATATTATTGATTCTGAATAACTATGTAACTATGTTTGAATAGTGAAAAATATGATGGTATGAATAAACATATCTAAACAGGAAAACATGACTGTTTAAATAAAGTTTATTTAAACATGACTATACAAAATGTCATGACTTTTTGAATTGGCTTGATTGGTGACTGTTCATTTATTATAAATAGATATTTTTGCCTCACCAATTTCACTACTTCTGATTTAGAGAGTTTTAAGGCTTTGTTGTATCCTATAAGCATAATTGCCTTTAAGATAATGTTATTCACGCCTCAAAGCCATATTTTCTTCTTTCTTACTATTTTGTTTTTCTTAATTTTACTAACAAAAATTAACATGGATATGGTAGTAGATATACAAAATAAAATGGTGGCATTGGGGATGGTGCTTCGAGATAAAAGGGGACATATCTTTTTGAGCGGTGTAACTAAGGTGGCCGGTATGCATAGCCCTCTACACGTAGATAGAAGCTATACTTTTTGGTATGGGTGTAGCAAAGGAAAGGTACTATGAATCAGTGCTAATAGAACCTGACTCAAAACTAGCAGCGGATGAGATAAAAAAAAAAAGTCTTATTGTTGTAGGAAGATGTAGGAATTATAATGGATATTTTGTAGCTAACATCACAGCTAAAAGAGAGAGCAATAGTATTTGGGAGTAAGAGTGCAAACTTTCTGGCACACACCATAGCAAGAATATCTTGCCCTGTGGGTCATCAGAGTATTTGGGAAATGTCTTTACTAGAATGTATAACAAATGATGATGATATTTTATATTAATGAATTACAATCTGTTACCAGAAAAAAAAGCTAATAAGGTTTAAGATTGCTTGCATTTCTTCAAAAGAAAATTCAAATGATTAGGGTCTATAATGTGAGAAAGATTTCATAAGTTTTTTCATTATTAAATAAACGTAAAACAATTAAGATGTGTTTCGTATATAAAATTATGATAAAATAGGATAAAATTATATTATAAATAAGATTAAATTAAAAAATATCATTTTATCTTATGTTCAATGTATGTAAGGATTAGAATAAGATAATTTATTTATTTATCAAAATTATTATTCATAAAAATTTATACAATTTAAATTATTGATATAATTTTTAAAAGGTATTATAGAATATGTAAATTCAATCTAATGGATTAAAAATAATTTTTTTCACTTTGGAATGGTTGAATCATCTTATATCAAGATTATAATTAACCTTCCTTATAATCTTATTTTTTTATATTTAAATAAATAATAATAAAAAATAATTATTATCTTATCATATTTATCATCTTATGTATCAAATATAATTTTAACATATAATATCACTTGCAATGCATATGAAACGATAACAATAAAAGTATTAATAAAAGAAAATTAAAATTCCTTGTTGTTCGTCGGATTGGTGCTTTTATTTGTTTGCATTTCGTTATTTATCCCTTATTTTCAATTAAGTAAAATTTCTTTCTTTCATGCACTTTTGTCAATGCAACATATATAATGAAAAATCCACTATTTACCGTCTAAATATTTGACATACTCGGCAAAGGGTAAAAAATTAATCTATATTTGAAAAATTCATTGCTAAACGTTACAAATTTTTTTTTTTTTTTTGGTCTTTTTTATTTGGTTTGAATTCGGCCTTTATGATTGGCTACTAGGCTTGTGCCTAGTCCTTTTCATATTTTATTCGTTTAATTTTCAGATTTCCTTTTATTTTTATTTTTAATTTTTTTATATTTGTTTAAACGACATAGTTTATGTCTTTCCTCTGTTGCTTCATCTTTTTTATTTTATTTTATTTTTTTCACTCATCACTTAGTCGGTAACAGACTCCCCACCACCGTCTGAAACTTCCTCCTAAAAGCCTTGTTGTTGCGCCTTTGACTGATTGGATCTATCTTCGGCAAAGAAAGCAGCGGTCTGCTGACATACTACTTTCTCACGCTTCTCTCTGCTGTCTTTTCTCTCTTATTTGTGGTGGATATGGTTGTCACAGACTAAATGTGACTAACAGGAACTTGAACAAGAGAATAGAAGGACCAGATGAAGAAGAGAGAATAGAGAGCAGAAACTTGTGTAATTTTTCATTCATGATTTGTTTGTTGCAATACTAGGGCTGTATATAAGTACAACATATGCTAAAACTCATAACAGAATTTGCTAAATTCTTGGCCATTCACGACCCATTGTCTATCAGCTGGCATTACAATTTCTTGACAGCTAATATTACAAAATTCTATGCAAAACTAACTAATGACTAGCAGCCAAGTCACCTCCAATGATTGCCTCACTCCTTTTGTAAGCATCTTCATAGTGAGCTCTAGCCTACCAGCTTCTAGCTCCAACATTGGCTCGACCATCTCCTTTCCCAGCTCAGTTTCCTTTCCATCTAGCTTACTTCCTTTCCTCCTCAGCTTAGCTCCCAGCTTAGCTTTTCCATTCATTAGCTCAACTTCTAGCTTCCTGTCACGGTCAATTTCTTCCATAATCTTTTTGTTGTTATTTCTTCTTACCAAATTCATGACATTACCCTCTCCTGTAGCTGATCCTTGTCCCCAATGATCAAAGGACAGTAACAACAATTGAGTTATCCAAGTTTTAGCAAAAAACTGCACTTTCCTGTAAGCAAAAAGAAGAGTAATGGCCAAGTTCACAAAATAATCCTCATGTTACTCCAATTCCTCGTTTACTTGCTTGTTCTTCATTTCTGCATATGAGAACTGGAGAAGCCAAGTATCTTCCAAGAAATTAATCCATGTATAGAGAACTTCTGCCTTGAGAATTCCTTGTTTATACATTAGATGTCAAAACTTTCAGCATCAGCTCTTCCAAATTTAGATATGCTTCATCTATTCTTCCGGTTTTCCCAAATCCATCAATAGGACTACTATATATAATTAAATTCAACTTTGTGACCTGTGATTTTGCATCTTCAAAGAGCATGTATGCTTTATCAAGCCTGTCATCCAGTAGTGGAAAAGCTAACTTATGAACATCTTTGCTAACTGAAACAGCCTGTTCTTCCTTAGTCACTCTCATTGCAGGAGCATGAGACAAGGCAACCAAATTTCTCTCCAAATTACGAATATCAGCCTCCTTGGTGTACCTTTGAACGATGACAAGTTTAACCATGCCCTCTAGAATTTGAAGGAATGCAATGCTCAATCCATTCTGATCCAAAACTCGTGGAAACAAATTTTGGATGGGTGTTCTGAGTTTTTCTTCAGCTTTATATCCAGGTAGTTCAATGGCTTCCATCCTGTCCAAGAGTGAAGGAGGAATAAGCTGCACCCCATTTGCAGTAACCACAAAAATCACCTTTGAAAGGTCAAATGGTACCTTAGAATAGTGATCATTGAAACATCTATTCTGCTCAAGATCAAGAACTTCTAATAAAGCTAAAGCTGAATCACCACACACATTAGAACCTGTCTTGTCAATCTCATCAGATAACATGACTGGGTTGCAAACACCTACTCTCTTTAAACCATCAATGAGACGCGCTGACAAGCTTTTAGTGTATGTTCTCCTATGCCCTTGGATATCAACCTATCCTTGACACCACCCAAGGATATACGCACAAGAGCTTGTTCCAATAATTGCAATGCCATTTCACCAACAACTCCCCCTCTGACGATAACCTTTGCAAGAGCTTCCCAACCTCAGCTTCTTCAATTTTCGCATCATTTCTAAGTTCAACTTCTTGTTGCACCATCACATCAGGCTTCACACTCTTAATACCTTGAAAGATATCAGAATAAGCTTCAAAAATATTCCGCCTGAGCTGATTACCATAATCCATTATTTCCTTATCAGCAGTTTCCGTCTGAGCATAGATTTCTGTTGCTCCCAGCATCATGAGTAGAACATAGGGAACATATTTCTCAAATTGAGGTCCAATGGCATAACCAGATGCACAATTGCAAGCATTACTTCCTCCTGCACAGTAAAGCTGCGACAACCAAACAACTTAAGGGATAGAATCATGATCTGATCTATGGCCTGAAGTATGATAGGTTTGATTTCATCTGTACGGCTAAGTTTTTAGATGATAACCTGCAAAGCTCCACAAAGAGGGGCTTGCATCTCTCCTTGCTTTTCCCTATCCTCTGATGATACAATTTGAATTTCCACAGTGTGGCCTAACTTGTTCATAATGATTGGTAATAATTTTTCTATGACGGAAGATGTTTCTAATTTTGCTATGATGGAAGATGTTTCTACAGTTGCATTCTGGTATTGCTGGTACTTTGAGACCAAATCATTCATATTGCTCTCCGCTTTTGTGAACTCCATCTCATCCATCCCCTCTCTAATGTACCAATGCAAGGGAACTTTGCTGCGAAACATGGCAGTGAATTGGTTACTGACCCACCTGAACATATCTTGCAGTGAAGTAGAGTTCCCAATAACTGTGGACGCCATCTTGAAGCCATTAGGATGAATGTCACAAAGAAATGACTTCATATTGTCTGGAATCCATTCAACAGAGTACGACGAGTTATTGTTTTGCACATTGATCATCAACTCATCAACCTCTTTTGTACTCATTCTGCCACGAAACACAGTTGATACTGTGATGTATTGATTGCGTTGAGGATTAGCAGCACACATCATGTTCTTGGCATCCCACATTTGCCGAGTAAGTTCAGGAAAAGTCAGGGCTCTACACTGTTGGAAATTACGAGATGTGAATAATACAAATCCAACCTTGAAAAAATGTAGCCAAGGAAATGGGATGAGGTTTCTAGCAAGCTTCCAGAGGTCGGAGTTAAGCTGACCAGGGAAGTGAAGGCAACATGTAACACCACTCATAGTGGAGGAAACTAAATGGTTGAGATCTCTAAAACTTGGAGTAGTGAGCTCAAGGGTACGGAAACAATTATCTCAGAGAGCTTCATTATCAAAAAGCAAACACTTATCCGCATTTTCCGCAAGACAATGAACTGAGTTGTAAGGCTCGACGACAGTATTTGCAAACAGAAAACTATGATCTTCGTTATTGTTGCTGCCATTGTCGTTAATGATAACAGAAACCTTACCTGGATCCCAAGTCCATCCATTTGGTCCACTGATTTTTAATTAAAAGAACCTTTATCATACACTGGAATGAAGTAATTTCTATTTGGAGTACACTGAATTCTGTCCTTTACTAACCCATCTATCGTGTGCAGCTCAACATTGATATGAGAATACTCCAGCTATGTATCAGCTTCTAGATAGAAAGACTCTAAAATCTGGTAATTCTTTTTTTGGTCTGGTAGTTAAATCATTCATATTCACTGATGAAGTAATTCCTCCAGTACTATCATGGCTTTCACACGAGACAAGTTATTATGAGGACTATGATGGCTAATATCCTGCGGGTGTGTGGGTAAAAGTCTACGCTTACCGGATTTGTAGCAATATTTGCTATGTTCACCAAGTACAGTAATTTCTATAGGGTTCTTACCTTCACTTTTTGTCGGTGAAATAGGAGTTATTTGGGTGCTAGCTACGGTAGTTACTCCTTCAAAGCCTGACTGAGTTTACTGTATTACTTGTTGCACAACTGATTCTGACATCTTGTTGATTTGATTCTGAAATTCAACAAGTTCAGCCACAATTTGTTTTCTTTGTTCTTCCCACCATTTAGGAGCAGTCGATTTTGCAGCTATCAACTCATTCACCTGGATTGTAGAGCTTGAACTTTCTCTTCCGGTATGTCGAGTCCGACTTCTTCTGCCATAGCTTATAGTTTGGCTGGATCTTTTCTTGTTCTGATACCAATTTGTCACAGTCTAAATGTGACTAAGACGAACTTGAAGAAAAGAATAGAAAGACCAGATGAAGAGAACAGAAAGACCAGAGGAAGAAGAGAGAATAGAGAGCAGAAACTTGTGTAATTTTTCATTCATGAATTGGTTCGTTACAATACTAGGGCTGTATATAAGCATAATATTTGCTAAAACTCATATAAGAATTTACTAAATTCCTGGCCATTCTTATGGTAGTTTAGAATGTAGAGTATCTCACATTAAATAAAAAAATCATTTATATGTGATTTAAAAGAGATTATTTACGTTATTTAAGTTATTGAGCAAAATGTTGGAGTGGGCCAAGTCATATGGGTTTATTAGGAGTTTTCCTAGTGGATAAGATAATTTTAAAAGTCAAAGATTGGCAGTTAGGCACTTTGGACACTTTGGGCTTGTTTGACAAATAAATTTAATTTTTAAATTATTATTATTATTATTATTTATTTATTTATTTTGGAATCTTACTGATTCTGAATAAATATGTTTGAGCAGTGAAAAATATGATAGTACGAATAAACATATCTAAACAGAAAAACTTGATTGTTTAATTAAAGTTTATTTAAACAATAAAATATGACTATACAGAATGTCATGACTTTTTGAATTGACTTGATTAGTGACTGTTCATTTATTATAAATAAATCTTTCTGCCTGATCAATTTCACTACTTCTTATTTAGAGAGTTTTAAGGCTTTATTGTATCATATTGGCATAATTGCTTTTAAGATAATGTTCTTCACACCTCAAAGCCATGTTTTCTTCTTTCTTACTATTTCTGTTTTCTTAAATTTTCTAACATTTTAAACGCAATTATGGATACTACATCTACTATTGTCCCTACTATTGCTATGGATTTAGAATTAAGCCTGAAGGTTCATTTTCAAAATCAAGATGTAATTAGACTTGATCATTTTAATGGATTAAAATACACTAGGTGGAAGGACAAAATAGTTTTTCTGTTGATTGCATTAAAGATGTTTTATGTACTTGATCCAAATTTGGAACCAATTCCAAAACCAACTCCTAAAGATTCTAATGTTATTAAGGCAACAAGAAGCAAACGTGAAGAAGATGAACTAGTCTACCAAGGTTATATTTTGAATTCATTATCTAACTGTTTATATGACATATACAGAAATATGAAAACACCAAAAAAGATATGAACTGTTCTTGAACACAAATACATGAACGAAAAGAAAGGTAAGGATAAGTTTTTAGCTTTGAAATACTTTGAATTTTTAATAACTGATGATAAAACAATCATGGACCAAGTGCACGAGTTGCAAATTCTGGTTTCTAAATTAAGTGAGCTAGAAATTAAAGTTCCTTATTTACTTCAAGTTGGAGCTATTTTGTCAAAACTTCCTTCTTCTTGGAATGGATATAGGAATAAAGTTTTGCATTTAACAGACACTTTCACTATTGAAGAATGTTAGACTCACATACAAATTGAAGCGAAAAATCTTGCAAGAGTGCACTCTTTCTTGGAGGTTCCAATGTAAATTATGTGAGTGGATAAAATTTTGGAAAAACTTACAAGTCTTCAGGTAAATTTCAAAAAAGTTTTAAAGTCAAGAAGAATGGATTTAAGAAATCCAAATTTAACAAGAATAAAATGTGTTTCCATTGTGAAAAGAAAGGACATTTGATTAAAGATTGCAGATTTAAAAATGCTAGAATTAAGATTGGTTATAGTTCTGAAAGCAAAGCGAATATGGTTGAGCAAGAAATTAATGAACTTGTTGCAATGGTGACTGACATGCAAATTGGAATGATCATCAAAGTTCATATGGCTATTGCAAATATGTCATCTGATTATGGCTAGATTCTGATGCAACAATTCATGTTTGCAACAACAAACAACAGTTCAAGACTTATGAAGAATGCAAGAGACCAGAAAATATCCTTATGGGAAATCATATTCCTGCCAAAGTGATTGGAAAAGGAACGGTTGAATTGAAATTCACCTTAGGAGAGAAACTAACTTTACTTAATGTTTTTCATATTCCTGAGATTAGAAAGAACCTTGTATCTGCAAATTTATTTTGTAAGAAAGGCTTTAAGATTATACTAGAGTCTGATAAAGTTATAGTGTGCAAAAATGGTGTATTCATTGAAAAAAGATATTCCAATGATGGTATGTTTAAACTAATCATAGATGAAATAAATAATGTTTCTACTTATATTGTTGAGCATTCTTCTTTTTTATGGCATGCTAGATTAGGACATTTAAATTATTAATATATGAATCATATGACTAAGCATGGTTATATAACAAGCCAAAAAAATCAAGACATTAAATGTGAAATCTATGTCAATGCAAAAATGACTAAGAAACATTTTCCTAAAGCTAAAAGAAATACAAAATTATTAGAACTCATACATTTTGATATTTGTGAGTTAAATGGTTTATTAATAAGGGGAGAAAAAAGGTATTTTATAACATTTATAGATGATAGTTCTCGTTATACTTTTATGTATTTAATGAGAAAAAAAGATGAAGCTTTTAATAAATTCAAAGAATATATCATTATCGTTATACTTTTGTATATCTAATGAGAAAAAAAGATGAAGCTTTTGATAAATTCAAAGAATATAAATCAGTTGTTGAAAATTAAAATGAGAAGAAAATCAAAATTCTTTGAACTGATAGGGGTGGCTAATATTTTTCAAATTTATTTTCTCTTTTTTTGTGAAGATAATGGAATTATTCGTTAAAAGACAGTCCTTTATGCACCTTAACAAAATGGTTTAGCCGAAAGGAAAAATAAAACCTTGGTTGATATGGTAAATAGTATGTTGTTAAATGCTAAATTATCTCTATATCTTTGGAGCGAAGCACTTTTAACAGCATGCCACATATATAATAGAATTCTTTCAAAGAAATTCTTATAGACACCATATGAACATTAGAATCATAGCAAAAAATCAAATTTGAATTATTTTAAAATGTGGGGTGCATTGCCTTTTATAAAATACCTTATTCTCGTAAATCAAAATTAGGACCTAAATGTATTAAAAGTATTTTTGTTGGTTATGCATAGAATTCAAAAGCATATAGACTTCTTGATTTAAATACTAATGTTGTTGTCAAATTTATTCATGTAGAATTTTTTAAAAATAAGTTTATATGTGATGTTGAAATTGATATTGAAAAAGAAATTGAAATAATTCCTACGGCTAGAAATAAAAGAAAAAAGAAAGTAATGATTCTGTTGAACTTAGAAGGAGCAAAAGAACTAGAAAAGAGAATCTTTTGCCTTTTGATTTTGTTTTTTCAGATTTTATAGTATTCCTAATAGAAGAAAATATAAACAAAGTGCTTAAGAAAACATCAATTCTACTAAATGTAAATGAAAACCCTAAAACATTTAATGAAGCTATGAGTTCAAGAGATGTTGCTTTTATAAAAAACTTGATAATAATGACATCTTATGTCCAATATACAAGGTATTGATGACATTTATCTCAGGTTAACCTATAGATGTAAATGGATGTTTAGAAAGAATTAATAAGATGCCTCTGTACAAACTTTAAAGTAAGATTAGTGCAAAAAGTTTTAAACAAAAGAAGGCTTAGATATTTACTTGGAATACATATGCTTAGTAGCAATAAGTAATATATTAGAGGCTTATAGAGATGTTTACATAATAAATTAGGCAAATTGGATGATTAAGATAGCTTTTAATGTGATTAAGTAAATTAGTATCATGGAACAATGCAGAAAGTTTTATCAAGTAATGATAATAAAAATTCTGTAAAGTAATTAAGTCACTTTATGTCTAAATGAAGCCCTAAATTGCCATAAAGTTTGATTGAAATATTAGCCAGTTTTGCTAAAGCAGATAGGTGTATTTACTCAAAATTTACTAAAGAACATGGAGTTATAATATGTCTCTATGTGGATGATATGCTAATTTTTAGTACTAATATGATTGGCATAAATGAAACTAAAAGGTATCTGATTTCTAATTTCAAAATGAAATATTTAAATGAAGTTGATACCATTTTGGAAATTAAAGTTAAGAGATATAATAATGGTTTTGTACTTAATCAAAGTCATTATATTGAGAAACTGCTTAATACGTTTAAGTATCTCAATATAAAAGAAACCAATACTCCATATGATACAAGTATAAAATTAACAAAAAATCAAGGTTACATAATTGCACAACTTGAATATGCTAGTGTTATTGGAAGTATTATGTATGCTATGCATTGTACTAGGCCAAATATAGCTTTTGTTACTTGCAAGTTATTAATATATACAAGTAAGCCTAGTATAAGTAATTGGAAAGCCATAGGAAAAGTTCTAGGTTATCTTAAAAGAACTAAACATTTTGACTTATTTTATTCTAAAGATCTATCTGTTTTGGAAAGATATTCATATGCAAGTTAGATCACTAGTATAAGTGACAATAAATCCACTTCAGGATGGATGTTTACCTTTGGAGGTGGTACAATTAGTTGGGCATCCAAGAAATAAACTTACATTTCACATTCAACTATGGAATATGAATTTATAGCTTTAGCTGCAACAAACAAGGAAGTGAATGGCTAAAAAATTTATTAATGGATATAGAGTTGTGGCCACAACCAATGACAGTCATTTCCTTGTATTGTGATAGTGAAGCTGTTATGTTTAGAGCTTATAGTGAAATTTATAATAGAAAATCTAGACATATTAGTCTAAGACATGATTATATTAGAGAATTGATAAAAAAATAGGGTAATTATCATAATATATGTTAAATCTACAAACAACTTAGTAGATCTTCTTACTAAGGCTCTACATAGAAATTTGGTAAGAAGCACCAAAAGTGGAATGTGTTTAAAATTCTTTTTAAACACCAATAATGGGAACCTAACTTTGAATTAATAACCTTTAATTGCAAAGTTTAATAGGTAACAACAAGTTATTGTTATGTGTTTGTAAACACTAGTCAACCCATTCTAAATATTTGAAATACTAGTGTAAGCCATTGCGTAAATGGAGGATGAGATTGAACTCTTAATGAAGTTTATAATTAAATGTCTATAGTAATGGTGACATAAGCAAAAAACTCCACCTATATAAACATAGAAGTGATGTCGCTTCAACAAGAAAATTAGAAACTTTCTTGTCAATGTTTATGAATAAAGATAAGCACATGGCCATAATAGTGTTAAAGCGGTTATAAACCTCTAACAGAATATTAAATAAGTATTATATATATATTATATCTTCAATTTTAACTCTAGGAGTTAAGGTTTAATCTTCGGACGCCATCAGCTTTTTTAGAATTCTAAGGTATATATGCTAATTAAAGGTTTAAATTGAAAGATACCTTATTATAGTTATAATATTTATTTTGTGTGAAAGGTTAAAGATTAAACATCAACATTCCAAACTAATGGAGAATTGTTGGTAGTTTAAAATGTGGTGTATCTTATATCGAGCAGAAAAAATTATTTATATGTGGTTTAAAAGAGATTATTTATGTTATTTAAGTAATTGAGCAAAGTGTTGGAGTTGGTTAAGTTATATGGGCTTACTAGGAGTTTTCCTAATGGGTCAAACAACTTTAAAAGTAAAAGATAAGCATTTGAAATATTTGGACTTGTTTGGTAAATAAATTTAATTTTTAAATTATTATTATTATTTTTATTTATTTCAAAAATATTACTTATTTTATATAAAAATGTTGAACAATAAAAACTTGATGATACGAATAAATATATCTGAACAAAAAAATATAACCATTCAAATAAAATTTATTTAAATAATAAAATATAATTATACATAATGTCATAATTTTTTGAATTGATTTGATTAATGATTATTTATTTATAATAAATAAATTTTTTTATGTGATCAATTTTACTATTTTTAATTTAAAAATTTTAATATTTTATTATATCTTATAAATATAATTACTCACCCCATAAATTTATATTTTTTTCTTTCTTTCTTTTTCTGTTTTCTTAAATTTTCTAACACATTCGCGAGCAATTGTCTATCAGCTGACGTTACAATTTCTTGACAGCTAATATTACAAAAGTCCATGCAAAACAAACTAATGACTAGCTGCCAAGTCAGCTCCAACGGTTGCTTCACTCCTTTAATAAGCATCTCCATAGTGAGCTCTAGCCTACCAGCTTTTCTAGCTCCAACCTTGGCCCGGTCACCTCCTTTCCCAGCTCACCTCTCTTTCCATCTAGCTTACTTCCTTTTTTCTTCAGCTTAGCTCCCAACTCAGCTTTTCCATTCATTAGCCCAACTTCTAGCCTCCTGTCAGGGTCAATTTCATCCATAATCCTTCTGTTGTTATTTCTTCGTACCAAATTCATGACTATGGTATAAACGATGGTTTCTAGTAGCTAGAGGTTGTGGCCGAAAGAATTTCCACCTCTTTCTCAATTTTTTTAGGAAAATATAGAGAAAATAACTAGTCTAAGCTTTCTCTCATATTTTCATTTTATCCAATATTCCTCCATTTTCTTCAATTCAAACAGAGCCTAACGGTGTCTTTCTTCATCGTTCCATTCATTTTCTTCTTCTCAGGTTACTTGCTCTATTTTTTTCTTTTTTTTTTTTTCATTTATTTTCGTTTTGATATGGATTTTAATCCTTTGATTTTGATTATTTATTTTTCCTTAATAACTTTCTTTTTAGTTTTTAGTCAAAAGTTTCCTGCACTGTCACCATGATATGTTCTTAAACATTTTAACTTCCTTTTAAATAGAATTTTATCTAATTACTTTTTTTTTTCCTACTTTAATTGTAGTTGCTCAGTTAGACTAAAGTTTCAATTTTCTTTAGTAGTGTTTATGAAAGTGTGTTTTTTTAAATGGGTTTTAAGGAGTGATTGATTTAATGTTTATGTGCATTCGATTGGATGAGCAGGGTTGAGGCTGATCAGTTGCTGATCACTTTGAAGCAGCTTATCGGTTGCGGAAGCCAAAACCACAGCTCTATGTCGAGACTTGGAGCATTACAAATTATTTTTTTCAGAAATTTTCATCATAAAAGAGGTAAATGTGCGAATTTTGAGCTACCCATTTGGAGTAATGTTAAGAAGATAATAAAAAAATGCATTACATGTCAGCAAAAACCTGCAATCTGTTTCTAAAACTCAATTTCAGTTTTCTCATTTGCGTATTACTGCGAGGGCAATCAATCAGAATCTGAAAATGAATGCAACAACCCAATCAACTGTTTAAAAAATGTGCATTTATTGACTGCACCTTGGAATTGGATATGCAATTTGATTTTACTTGAATATCGCTGGCAATACACTTAAATGAAACTCCGATTCTATGTATTTTATTGCTCTGTTATGTTCTTTTCCTATTTCCTCTATTACTATTTGTTGGTGAAACAATAGATGTCTATTTATTAGATTATTGCAACAAACTAATCAACAGTTTAGATAGATTTAAATATTTATTTTTCCTCTTATGTTTCTATCTTTGTATCGGTAGAGACCAAAGTTGCAGGTCTATATTTGATTCTTTTCTGGTTCATTGATGATTACTTTGAGGTTTATGTGTTAGTGATGTATACTGCTCCGCTTACTTTGTGATTATTTTCTGTTCTTACTTTTTTTGGTATCTTGATCCTATATGGTTTAAATTTTCTGTTCTTTTTTTTTTTTTTAATTTCATTTAAGGATTTAGTGAAAGTCATATTATCACTAAAAATCAGATTTTCTTTGTTGAACTTTAGTGAATAAAAAATCCTTCATTTCATAAACTAAAGAAGCTTGCTCTGTACTCATGTTTATGCAGATTAATAGCCTGAGTTCTTCCACTTCATTATTAGATTTGCAATTCCATACTCAATAAATCACCTGATTTGATTGCAACACTTGTAGCTTGAATTTTGTTTTGTTTTAGGGATTGATTTTTTCAAGCTACAAAACAGTGAAGTTGAAATTTATGCTAATTGATTAATTTCTCACAGGTGTTGAAATATATTCTATTTCATGCATCCCTTGCATGCAACACTTGTAGCTTGAATTTTGTTTTGTTTTAGGGATTGATTTTTTCAAGCTACAAAACAGTGAAGTTGAAATTTATGCTAATTGATTAATTTCTCACAGGTGTTGAAATATATTCTATTTCATGCATCCCTTGCATGTGTATTGTCCTTGCAAAGTAGTTCAATTCATATTACCTATTTCATAACATAGCTTCCTATCTACATATGTTCTGGGTTAAACAGAAAAGATGGCGGGTTTGGCCTGAAAATGTGGATTGCACAATCAGTTACAGTGGTGGGTTTGCTCAAGCAGAGACAGCAAAATTTATTGGTGCTGATGGGGTTAGTAGCTCTGTCATGAATACTTTTTTAAAATTTGTTGTTTCTTATAAACTGAAATTGAGAGACACACACACACCCATACTAATATTAGCGGTGACTACATTGAATCAAACTGGTTTATCCATTGCGTTGGTCTAAATTTTCAATTTAAATCCGCTGGATATGTGGACCTGCAAGTGTATATTGTTATTACTCTTAATTAGAGTCCGGGGATCTTTCTTAGTTTTATTAAATGACTTTACTTGAACCAAGAAAAAAAAATACCATAAGGTGGCTTCTTTGCTTGACGTCAAAGTGTTCCCTACTCTTCTTTTGTTTGTTAATGGCACTTTCTCAAGCTTATACTGGTGGATTTTCAGCGTAAGTTGCTTTTTCTCTTTGTTGAATTGTAAACAAATTTAGAGTTGCATATTCACATTGAAGCTTCTTCCTGTTAATCGTGAAACATCACCAGTTTTTTGCATGTATTTCGTGCTGAATTTCTCATGCATAAGGATATATGTGCTTCCTTTTCTTTTTCTCCCTTGTGTTTGGAAATGGGTCTCCGTGTATAGAATAATTATTAGCAGATTTGATCTTTTTCTGCATTCAACAGCATCTTCAACAATACTAGAATGTTTGGCATCTATGGTAGTACAGTAAGGTTAACATTACATACTCTTCTTTGTTGTTTGTTCATCTAAAGATTGGCAACAGTCTGTAAGCATATATGCTCTGATGAGCATGCACTTGGATGCGGGCAATGCTGTCTTTATTTATAACACTTTATAAGTCTGTTATCTCTCAATGTCATTTAGCAATGCATTTTGATTTTTCAGAATCTAATTGAATTAAGTGGAATTTCTCTAGTTGGGTATGCAAACATCTTGCTTGCCACCTTTTGTAATTACAAAAAGTTGAATGTGCTCAATTTTGTGTCAAAAGCAGTTGATATAGCAGCATAAGAATTAATTTTATTCATGAGAGAATGAGTAGGTTTACTTGCATTTGTCTTTTCTTTTTTTGCCACCTTTTCATGGCAAGTTCTATCATTATTTTTACCCCTCTTTTTTTTTTTTTTTTTCTTTTATTTCTTTTAGAAGGTTTTGAGCTCAACTTGGTGGCAGATTCTTTTAAAATCCGCAGCTGGTGAATCTAGAATAAAGAGTATGCTCTCTCTCTCTCTCTCTCTCTCTCTCTCTCCCCACTCTTAATTGCAATTAGAGTTTTCATTATTCATATAATTCTCATATATTAATTTCTTTTTTTTTTAATCTATCAAATGTTTGTGATTGTTCTTTTCAAGAAATTTGGAGGAATGTGTATTTCAATTATTTCAGGGAGCATGTCAAAATGTGATTATAATTTATACAGTGAAACTTGATTTTGAGTTCTATAATTTCAATTATTGCCCCAATTCCACACCTTGATGATGTGTTTGTTTTGTTTAATCCTATATTGTGTGAAAGGTAATAATAATTTTCCTCTCTTAAAAGTTGTTCTTGTCATAATCTAATTTTACTACTGTGGAGTTAGTCTATAAATTCTGGTGTAAAAGTGTGAATATATTTAAACATGTTTCTAGGGTTTCAATAAATTTCGTATCATATTAGTGAATTTAGATAGTGAGGTAAATCGGAAACTTTTTTTTCTTTTTTAATGTCGGTGATTGTTATGGTTGGATTATGGCAGCTTCAATTGGTGTGGATCAAAGTTATACTTTCTTTGTGAGGAAAGAATGATGGGAAGCGTATTATTGTGGAAGCTACAATTAAGATAAAGTTTGAGAATTTGAGTTTTGTGGTAGTTATAATATCCATGATTACATTGGAGTGGTTTTTATGTGTATTTCAAATTTGTTATTTTGCAAGCACATCTTTTTGTTTTCCACATACTGCTAGCTTTTAGTGCTTGGTGCAATTTAATGTAGTAACTTGATTAGTTTTTTTAATTAATATTTGATAATTATTCTAACGTAACATTATATAGGTCCTGAAGCCAAGCGCAGGCTTTAAAGGCTCTCCGGTCTTTCCTCACTCACATGCTCAATTCTCTAAAACCAAAATCTTTCCTCCATCGTTCTCTCAAATGCCTCTCAACTTCAGTAACCCCTTCCAAAACCCTTCGAAAACCCCACGATTATGAACTCATTCTAATCTCTTCTTTAAAATCTGCTGCAACTCATTTCTCCATTTCTCAAGGCCAAAAAACCCATTGCTTCCTAATCAAATCAGGCTTCATTTCCAACCCTTTTATCCAAAACACCTTGCTTAACATGTACATCAAGTGTCACTTCATTGAAGAGGCTGAATGCTTCTTCACTTCTTGTCCTACCTTGGACCCTGTTTCTTATAACATTATGATTTCTGGGTATGTAAAATCTGGTCGATTTAATGAAGCACGGAACCTGTTTGATCAAATGCCAAAAAAGGGTTGTGTTTCTTATACGACCATGATAATGGGATTTTCTTCAAAGGGTTATTGGAGTGAAGCAATTGGGATTTTTAAGGAAATGAGAAATGAGCGTATTTTGCCTAACGAAGTTACATTGGCAAGTTTGATCTCTGCTTGTTCGGCTTTTGGGGGGATTTTCATTTGTAGAATGTTACATGGTTTGGCAGTTAAGGTGTTGCTTGACGAGTTTGTTATTGTTTCAACGAATTTGTTGCACATGTACTGTGCTCTTGGGAGTTTAAGGGATGGGAGGGATTTGTTTAATAATATGCCAGAGAGGAATATTGTTTCTTGGAATGTGATGTTAAATGGTTATGCAAAAGCTGGGGAATTTGAGTTGGCTAAGGAATTGTTTGAGAGGATTCCTGTAAAGGAAAAAGATATTGTTTCGTGGGGCACGATGGTTGATGCTTATGTTCAAGTGGATTGGTTAAGGGAAGCTTTACTAATGTTTTGTGCTATGTTACGTAAGGGACTTGAGGCAAGTGATGTTATGATTGTGGATTTAGTTTCAGCATGTGCAAGAATGGGTGCAATCCTAGAGGGTTCGCAGCTTCATGGTAGGATTGTGAAGGCTGGTTTTGATTGTTATGATTTTGTACAAGCGACTATCATTCATTTTTATGCAGCCTATGGGAGGGTTGATCTTGCATATTTGCAGTTTGAAGTGGGTATTAAGGATCATCTTGCTTCTAGAAATGCCCTTATTGCAGGATGTATAAGAAATGGAATGATTGAACAGGCGAGACAGTTATTTAGTGAGATGCCTGAAAGAGATGTTTCTTCATGGAGCTCTATGATTGCTGGCTATGCTAAGAGTGAGCAACCTAACGTAGCATTACAGCTATTCCAAGAAATGATAGCTAGAGGTTTGCAGCCAAACCAAATGACAATGGCAAGTGTTTTCTCTGCGATTGCCTCGTTAGGCATATTGAATGAAGGGAGATGGGCGCATAAATACGTACACAATAACTCCATCGCACTTAATGATAACTTAAGTGCTGCTATCATTGATATGTATGCAAAATGTGGGAGTATCAGTGCTGCCTTAGAAGTTTTTTATCAAATCCAAGACAAGACCTCTACTGTCTCACCATGGAATGCAATGATTTGTGGTTTGGCCATGCATGGACATGCCAGTTTATCACTTGAAATATATTCTGACTTGGAAAGGAGGCATCATATCAAGCAAAATTCAATAACATTCATTGGGGTCCTTACTGCATGTTGCCATGCTGGGTTGGTAGAACTTGGGGAGAGGTATTTCATGAGTATGAAGAGTGTACATAACATAGATCCTGGTATCAAGCATTATGGTTGTATGGTGGATCTGTTGGGCAGAGCTGGACGTGTAGAAGAGGCTGAGAAAATGATTAGGAGCATGCCAATGGAGGCAGATGTTGTTATTTGGGGTACATTATTAGCAGCATGTAGAACACATGGAAATGTGGATATAGGAGAAAAGGCTGCAGAGAATTTGGCAAGGTTGGAACCATGTCATGGTGGGGGTAAAGTTCTTTTGTCCAATATATATGCGGATGCAGGGAGGTGGGAGGATGTATTATCAGTGAGAAGAGTAATGCAAAGTCAAAGAATGAAGAAATGTCCTGGGTACAGTGGTGTTGCTTGATGCTATTCTTTTGGCCTAATAATATTAACCAATGTCTGGAATATAGTCCAGCTAGTTATGTAACAAATAACCATACATATCATTTCATCAATTAAACTTGAAATTGGATTTTTTCTGAAAATTCTATTCTTGATTATTGTTTGGTTTATTTATTTATTTTTTATTTAAATATAAGGCCTCCTTCCAAAATTGTTGATTCTATAGTCCTAAATATTCATGTATTTGATTCTCCTACTCACAATTCTTATATTCGATGCTCTTAGTGCTCGGCCTTTAACATGATCAAAGGGATTTTTAGTTCTCTTCTTTTTATTCCTTTATTAACTCTTATTTTTAATTTGTCTCTGGGTCCAACTGCTATGGAATATAATGCTTATGATGTATCATCTCTATTTGTGTGGATAAATGATATGTTTGAATTTAGGTTTTATATGCCTATTGACGTTTGGATCAATTGATATGTTGTTAATGTTGACGCTTGGAGGTTATAAGTTCGAAATAGCTTATAAACTAATTTTTTTTTTTTTTCTGCAAAGGGAAGAGGGTATAAGAAGAGGTTATAAGTTCCACATCTTTGGCGTGCTTAGCTTCTTCGATTCCCTTTAAGTTTCCTTGTTTTAATCATTCTATATCTCAAGGTTTGCCTATAAAGTCAATTCCTACACCCCCTTTTTTTTTTTTTCTTTTAATTTTAAGTAGCCTGCAATGACATTCATTGTAAAAAATAATTTAAAGGGTATATTTAAAAGGCTTTATTCATCACCGCCATATAGTTTGTAAGGTGATTATAATAACAAGTTTAAATGTTCTGTTAATTTTGACTTGAGAGGGCATGGAATTGGAAAAAGAATTGTCAAAGTTCGATGTAATAAAATAAAGCGTGAGAGCTTGAGGATAGTATTGCATCAGTTAAAATTTAGATTTTAGAATCAAAATTGAATATTGAAATCATTGACCCTAATTATTATATTGACTCAAGTTTGGATAAAATTTTTGAAATTTAGACCGCTTTGTTTAGATATATTATTTTTTTGGCCAAAGTTCTAAGATGTTTTTTTAATAAATAAAAAATAATTTTTTTTATTTAATTTTAACTTTAAAATATATTTAAAATATTATTTTAAAATTTCAAACTTATTTGCTTCGATAAGTTGAGCTAGATCTTGAACAAAAATTTTCAAATAACAATTGAATTTAATTTAATTCGATTAATAAATATTTATAATATATGATGAGACCCGTCAAGTGGAAATATGTTGCTCTTTAGAATTTCAACTTGCAATTCTATTGTGGGGGCATTCAAGTGATGTTTTTGTTTGGCTAAAATGATTGACATTTTAGGAGATTTTATAAAAGTTTATATTTGATGTATTATTAATATATAAATTTTATATATTTTTAATAAATTAAATGATAATATTTTATTAATGAATAAGTATTAATCTTTAAAATAAATATATAAAAATTAAATTTTTAAAAAATTTTAAGTATTAATAAGGTGATATTATCTTATTCATTGACGGTATATAAAATATATATACCGATAATGAATCAAATATAAACTCAACCTTATAATTACTAATATGTATTTTCAACACACCTTTCTACTTCAAATATTGATTAAGGGTGAGAAAAAAAAATCAAGAAATCCAAAAATTGATTTGAAATTGTAATGTTCGGTTCAGTTCAGATTGATTTTTTTATTCAATTTAGATCATGTTCGAATATTAAATATATATATTAGATTCGAATCAAATTTCGAATCGAAAAATGAAAAATCGAAAAAAACTGAAACGAACATAATTACATATATTTTTTAGTTTTTATATATATTTTAAATTTTTATAAAATAAAAATAATAATTGTATATCAGGATTGCTGTTATCTTCAATAAACACATTAGAAGCATTAGTCCTTGAGATTCAAGAGTGTGTTATATGTTGTTTCAATGATTTTTTTTAATGCAAGCTTTTTGTTTAAATATGTGCTTCTTTATCTTAATTTTGCCTCAAGTTTACGTTGATGTGTAGGTTTTAAACCCACCATTATTTTCTTCAATAAGCATTTCTTCCAATGTATTAGGTAGCAGAATAGAGAACATTCGTAAGTTTTGAAGGGGTATAAAGCAAGCACTATTCAAAAGTGATGGTCATAGAGGAAAATGTCAGTAGAAAAAAGGAATAGAATAAGATGGTAACAAAACCTAAAAAAAAATTAAATTTCTTTAAATTCGTTTTTCAAATATCTGCAAGAGCTGTAATAATATTTTTCCTATTAATAAGCATTATTTATTCATCAAATCCATCTCACAACCTACCATGAAGTATCTATCTCCTGTTGGAGCATCTAACAGTATTTCTGCTCCAAAATTATTCAATTGGTGGATATGAGTAACTGAAAAAGAATAGTTTTTCAAACTTTTAATTTAATAAAAGATTTAATCAGAGTAAAGAGTTGAATCAGATTTTTTTTTTCAAATAACCCGGATAATAAGTAAATAGTTTTAAGTTAAAAATATAATGTTATGTGGACCAATAGATGAGCAAGTGTTGAAAAGCAATTCTCAAAACAATTGTTCTAGCATTCCTTGTTATGTTGTTTTGTTTAATATGACTAACGATGGACTTGCGCATTGCCATGGGTAAATTTTTTTATAACGAAAGTGAAAAATTTACATTATATAATCTTTGAAATAAATAAAAAAAAATAATAATGGTTACAAATGGAGGAAAAAAAAAACATTACGAAGTTAATTGTTTTAATTAATAAAAACATGAGATTAGAATATAAAAGAAGTATAATAGTTAAAATCGAATTTACAATAAGGTAAAGATGATATTTATTTATTGTTAGGATTAATCATAACCTTGAAAAGTGTTTTTTCACCATGGTAAAAAAACAAAAATCACCTGCTTTTAAGTGATTGTCATTTGTGAATTCTTTTCATTCTATTATTAAACATTTTCTTCTAGCATTATAATATTAGGCCAAATTTTGCGTTCTTAAAAAACCAACAAAGTTATATATGTGTGTTGTTTAGGTATATGTTTATAGAAATAAGTGCTTATTATAATAACAAAAAAATAATAATTAAAATTATTTAATTTTATAAATAATTTTTAATGCATAGGTGAGCAAAAAAGATTTATAATTCAATAATATACTAATATATGCTTAAAGTTTATAAACAGTTTTTTTTTTTTTTTTAAAAGTTTATAAATTGTTTATTACCAACATTCAATATGTTTTGGCAATTGACTGGATTAGCAAACGAAAAATTATAAGTCAATTGTTATTACTATCATTTTCACCTTGCATCCTTAAAGAGTGATAAGTTTGACTATCATAATTTGATTCAGAATTTGAATCTTAAACCTCTATAATTTCAATTGGATCTACTGAATTGCTACTAGAAGAACTTGTTTGCGTAAACACCTAATTCGGTCTACATCGATTCAGTTTTATTTGATTTTTATGTTTGATTCAAATAATTTGATTTAGGCTAATATGAGCATTGTAATTGGATTAACTCGTTTGGAGCTTATATTTGATTAATTGCTTTTGAATCATTTTATATGGCTTAAAACCCGGTCCAATCCAAGTTAGATTAATTAGGTCATAGGGGCTTAAAAGCCCAAAATCCAAGGTCAAATTTAAAGGTCCAATTTTAAAAGCCCAAATTTTATTGGTGAAGGCCTAAACTAAGCTTTTAAGATCAATTTCATTTTTATCTTTATTTTTATTTTTCAAAATTAATTGAATTAATTAAAATTTTAAAATTACAAAAAAAAAGTGGCTAAAAAACAAAAACAAAAAAAATGAGTAAAAGGACAGTAGGTAATGGCTGGCAAGTAATTGCTTAAACCACTACCTTGCCATCAGTGTTGCAAGGGCAACAAGTAGCCAAAACAAGCCAAAATTCCCATTATGAAGCAAATTTTTCTTGGTCTCTAGTTGTTAATACAATGGACAGAAAAGGCATTCGAAAAAAAAAAGAAAGAAACAAATAACAAAAAAAACTTTTCAAAAAAAGGTAACCCCCACTGCCGAAACCTATCATCAACCAGCCCACGACACACATAAATGACCATAACACGCATAACAAAAAAAAAAAATCATCTTGCCTTCCTCCATTCCAACCCATTGTCCCTAAGACTCTCAAGAACCACCATCTTCCCTACACTCTTTTAATCATGCCATCTTCCAACCACCTCTAGCCAAGCACCCACTAAAACCATAAAAAAATACCTAGCACCAAAACCCAATCCCAATATCAAGCCACCATACCTCTTTACAAAGGACAAAAAACCCCAACCGAGCATCATAAACTTTCACCTCATTACTACCATCAAGTTAAAACCATTAGCCCTCATTTTTTATCATCAACGTAACCCATACACCCACAAACCAAACCTGAAACTGAACCCCTCATCAGACTTCAACTCTCCATTAAAAAATTAGTACCACCATACTACCTCCGCCTCTCTTTCTCTTTATTTTAAACCACAAACACTAAAAACAAACCTAGTAAAAAACTCTTATCAAACTTAAAACCTACCTTTCCTTCGCTAGAATTATCCTTGTCGAGACCATTGATAGCCTCTGCCTCTACCCTCCCTACTTTTAATCAAACCTCTATCACAGCCCTAAATCCAAACACATTCATAACCTCGACTCTAACCGAACACATAGCCAATAAAAGAAATTCCCAACCCTCTAAAACCATTCCCTAGTGCTAAAATACCCAAAAAAATCATGCTATGTTTTTCCAAAAATTATCCAAAAACCTATCCAAACATCCCTTGATTTAAGGCCCTATTAACAAAAAATCCAACCTTAAAGCAAAAAAAAAAAAAAAAACAGAATAAAACCCTTTTATTCAATTGAAAATCATAAAAAAAAAACTATCTTTTTTTTTTGCCTTGTTTTAGAAAAATAAAAAAATTATACACAAAAAAAAATGAAAAACCACAATCCTTACCTTATTCAGTAAGGAACCCAACAGCACAAAAAATAAAAAAAATAAAAAAGGAGAAAATAGTTTTTGGTTGGAGAAGGAAAAAAAGAAAGTGGTTAATTTGACGAAATAAAAAAAAAGTAAAAAAAGAAAAAGATAAAGGGAAATGAGAAAGGAGAAAAGGAGCATCAGATTGATGGTACCAAATACGGTGGAGAGAAAGAAAGGAAAATGACAAGAAAAAGAAGAAAAATAAGAGGAATGAGAAAAAAAAAGGAAGGAAAAAAAAAAAGCCTAAAGCTTAATGATAGTACCAACAACAAGAAGGGTTACCAACCATCATTTTTGGGGTTTTAAAAGGGAGATTGTCTAGCAGTTTTAAAAATGAAAGATTTTTTTTTTAAAGAAAGAAAAAAATCGAAAGATTTACAATAAAAAAATGGAAAGAAAAAAAAAGTCAAGCGAGTCAAACTGACCCGACTCCTCCAAACCTGCTATTGATTTCACCAGCTTTGACTTGACTCAATTTGGTTTCAACCATAGAGCTAACTTCATTTGGGCCTTTACTCATAGTATTAGGTTGAAACCTAAATAAGAGATACTGTTAATGAAATTAAGCTTCTCAATTTAGTGATTTTCTTTACTTGCTTGTTTCATATTAAAGAATGTTGTCCTTGAATTGATTGATTAAGAATTTTGATTTGACAAAATAAAAATTTGTCAAACTTGTTTCAATCTTGTTTAAGCTTAAATTGAACATTTTTCCACC